TATGCACACCCATCCCCGGGGTCTTCTTAAAATGCAGAGTCTGGTGACTAGGTCTGCGTGGCCCCTGAGACGGCATTTTAAACAACTCTCAGGTGATGCCCACAGGGCATTCGACCACATTCATCATCGGTCACTGTACGAACTTCATCAAGACCCTCCTCTTGAGCTCTCTCTTTTCTGAATCCAGTGTTGTTACCCAAGTATGTGAAGACTCATTAATTCATTCTTCCTTTTGTCATGGGCCATGTGACCACCTCCCTGCAGCTGCTTGGCAGGAAGTGAACGGATACCAGGGCTGCCTTCCTGCATAGCAACCACCATCTGGAACGTGCTCTAGACATGACATGGGCTCTCCAGTTGTCTGTAGTCTCCACCGCTCCCTCTCGCCTCCCACCTGGGCTACTTCATTCAATGGCTGTAGCCTTGGAGATTGAGACTCTGGTTTACTGAGCAACTGCTATGTGCCAAGCACTTTGCTGTGCACTGAGGGTATCCCAGGAAACCCTGATCTTTGTCCTTCAGGAGCGTATAGTCTCCTAGTTCATTAGGATGATCTGTTTTTAGAACAAAGTAGTTACTCCATAAAAACTGAAAAATGAAGGAGTTGTTATTTATGGCTCTCTCAATAAACCCTAAATACCGATAATCAACTTTTTAGTCTTATGAAATTGTTCTTTTAAAAATATACCTTGACAAGCAACTTGGTTAAACCTCAACACTGAGCTGTGATTTGGAAGATACAGTTCTTGATGTCCTACCTCAGACAAGGGCCACTACAGACATGGACAGTTTACAAAGGGTTCCTTACAGAGCTGATCTTACGTAATCTTCACAAAAACCTGGGAGGTCATTATTTCTACTTTTTCAGCTTCCCAGAAGGAACCGGAGATTCAAAAAGTTAGATAGATGACTTGCCCGGGATCAAATGGCCAGTCAGTGGCACAGCTGGGGAGTGAGCCAAGTCAAGTGTACTTTTCTGTAATCCTCTCTTCATTTTCAGAATTGGGTCAAGAATAAGGAGACGTTGACTCTTGCAAGATGCTGGACCACCGTTAAATTAGTTATCACTACTCGGGAAGACTAATTCTATCGAAGGATTATTCTTATCTTTTCTTTCACCCCGATTTTACTCGCCCTCTTGTTCTGTCTGTCGGGGAAGCCAGACTGGAATGTCACCGCGGACACCGCCTCCTCTCTTACCCCTTGCATCCAGTCAGTCACCAAAGCTTGTTGGCGCAACCTCCTAAATATCTCTTTAATCCACCCACTTCCTCCCTTCACCACCCTAATCCTGACCAGCCTCCTCTCTCCTTTCTGGCCTGCAGCCGCCTCCTAACTGGACTCCCCATAGCCAGCCTTGTCTTCCCACCGAGTCTCCATCCAACAGCCAGAGTGAAGTTTACAAAATCCAAATCTGACCCCAGAACTTCTCTTCTCAAAACCCTCCCAGGCTTGCCATCACCCTAAGAATACAGTCCAAAATCTTTAACGTGGTTCTAAAAGCCCCGCATGGACCAGCTCCTAAAGACCTCTCCAGCTTCAGAAGACACTGATTTTATTCTCCTGCCACAGTGGACTCTCTGGTGCCTCCAATGCCTGCTCCCCTCCCACCTCAATACAGTCTCTCCTCACTCCCAACACCCACTCCTTCATCTGGCAACTCTGTATCGTGACTCTTCCTCCAGGAAGCCTTCCCTGACCACCCCCAAGACCGTTAGCTATCCTGTCCATGCCCCTGTTAGCACACTGCATTTCTATTTTGTTCTAGTCACTATACTTGTTGCTAAGTCTCTCTGCCACCTCTGAGGGCAGGGATGCTGTCTGTCCTGCCCACCCTTACATCCCCAGTGCCGAGATCCTCACTGACCCAGGTGGGGGCAATGTAAGAATTAGTAAATGAGGGGATGGCTTGGATGAAAGAAAAGGAAGAGAGAGAGAGTAAGGGAAGGAGAGGAAGAAAAAGAAAGTAGAAGAGGGTGAGGTTTATTGGAGGTAGAAAATGTGCCATCTGTTTTTAATGGTTCTTAAGGGACGTCTCAGAGACCACTGGTAATATGTTTCCTTTGTATAGTAACAAGGCCATCCTCTGGGCGTGGTTATGTTTGCATATCTGGCCTGAAATAGTTCATTTTCCTTGAGGTGTGATCTAAATTGACTCAAAAAAGAGTAGTTAACAGTGCCATGTACATTATGGGTATCATTCCACCAAATGCTTTCCCGTTTAATTGTCCCATGTAATTTGTTTCCATATTACAGATTAGGAATCTGAACCTAACAGGTGGTACAGGGGAGTCCCGAACCCTTGTCTTCCTGGCCCCACGGCCCAGGCCTTGGACCACACATGACACTTCCAGCCATGAGGTCTGGCGGAGGCGAGGAGACAGACATCTCTGGGGATTTGGGTGCCATGGAGGGGTCCCTGGATGGAAGCAATTTAAGAATCTCAGTCCTGCCCTGGCCGGTTTGGCTTCGTGGATAGACCCTCCGCCTGCAGACTGAAGGGTCCCGGGTTCGATTCCAGTCAAGGGCACATACCTTGGTTGCAGGCTCCTCCCCAACGCTCCTCCCCGGCCCAGGCCCTGATTGGGCTTGTGCAGGAGGCAACCAATGATGTGTTTCTCTCACATCGATGTTTCTCTCTGTCTTACCCTCTCTCTTCCACTCTCTCTCTAAAAAAAATCAATGGAAACATAACCTCAGGTGCAGATTAAAAAAAAACGAATCTCAGCCTTACGCCTTGGAATTTTCTGTCTGTCTGATGGATATAGTGCTCTACACCTGGCTGAACTAGCTCATAAAAACGAGCTTTGCAAAATGAAGATGAAATGAAGGCTCCATAATCCCCCAGGTCTGTTCCAACACGGAGACGCCCACCCTGCAGCTCTCTCCTGTGATGGACGGGACCAGCAACCAGTAATGCCCTGGCCCGCCCAGTGGGAGCGACTCAACACCAAGGTCCAGGGCCTGCATTTGCGGCTGCCTCTCCTGAGTTCCATGTCCCCACACACCAGATCCTTCTCTTGGGGCGTTCCCAATAGACAATAAGCAAAACAGTTTACAACAAAAAGTAGGCTTTCCTCCCACTGACCCCAGCCTCCCCGCCCCCTTTCCCAGGAGCAGCCTCTGGTACTAATATCTTGGGTGTTTTTTCCCAGAGATTTTCAGTGCACCTTCGAGCTTATATGGGCGTATGGATAACTAGGGTGCATGTAGAAATACATTCCTATGCCATGTTCTCTGACTCGCTTTTTAAGTTCAGTAATATCTCTCCAATATTTCCCCACTGACCCTTTCAGATCTTATTCCCCTGTGGTTCATGCCTGCCCAGGATTCCATCGCAGGGACCTGCCACCCTCACGGTGGGTATTCAGATTTTCCCAATCTCTTGATATTCTTAACTCTGCAAGGAAGAGAGAGAGAGAGAGAGAGAGAATATGAATCTGTGTGTGTTTCATCTGCAGGGGCAAGTTGTGTGTTTGTGTGTGTGTGTGTGTGTGTGTGTGTGTGTTTCATCTGCAGGGGCAAGTTTTTTTGTTCGTTTAAATATATTTTATTGATTTTTTACAGAGAGGAAGGGAGAGGGATAGAGAGTTAGAAACATTGATGAGAGAGAAACATCGATCAGCTGCCTCCTGCACACTCCCCACTGGGGATGTGCCCGCAACCAAGGTACATGCCCTTCACTGGAATCGAACCTGGGACCCTTCAGTCCGCAGGCCGACGCTCTATCCATTGAGCCAAACCAGCTAGGGCTGCAGGGGCAAGTTTTAAAAATTGAATTGCCAGGTCTAAAAATTGGCGGCCAGGTCAAAGATCTGTGTGTTTTCAATGAGGGAGTAGATATTGTCACACGACCACACAGAGAGACCGTACGAAGCCACAATGTAAGGGAGTGTGGATTTCCCAAACCCTCAGGTGCAAGGTGTACCGTCAGGCTTTAAATAACTGTCCATCCTCCTGCTCCTAACTCTAAACCACGCTCCTTCCCGCCTCTGAGGTGTGGGCATTTGGCCGGGGGTATCAGAGTCATCACAGGCCAACCGTAGCCAGGAACCTGGGGGAATGAGGTGTCTGGGATGATCCCATGGGACCAGGGTGTCTGTCTGTGGCCTCCCCAAAACACGAAACAACAACTCATCCCCCGATTTGCAGGGGTTGGCGGGTTTGTGTGTGACTTGGCGTGGGAGAAGGCACGTCAGCTGCTTTCCCGGGGGTGTGCTCTCTGGGGAAAGACTGCAAATTAGCTGTTTGAGAGATGGGAGGAAGTTGGTGGTTTTGTTGAGGGTTTTTTTGAGAGCACAGTTGGGTTACGTTTTCGGTCTTTTGTTTGTGTTGGAGGCAGCAGTTTTTGTTTCGCTTTAAGACGTGGAGGACTTGAATTTGTTTTTACATGAGATTGGGGGGAGACGGGATGCAGGGCTGTAATCCATTAGCGATTTTGTGGGTGTGCGCACTGAAAACACCGAGGCGTTGACAGGCGGCTGTTCTGTTCTTTAATGTTGCTCATTTAAAGGTCACACACGTGATAAAAATAATGTAAATGGTATTCAAATTGGAAGAAGAAGGGTGTTCAGTGCTTCCTCCTACTTCTGACTTCCAGTACTCCTTGCAGGATGCAGCCAGTGATGCTCCTTCCTTCCGGAATGGTCTCTGCATGTGCGCACTGGTTTCTTCTCTTTCCTTTTCTTTCTTTTACCTAATGGTATATCTTGGAGCTCATTTTCTACCTGCAAATGGGGAACTGCTTTATTCTCTTCGATGAGACATTTATTGTATCCTCAGGTTAGATTTTAAAGGCCATTTGGGTGGCAGGAGGCTGAGTACTGGACGGTCACCCCAGGGGACACCCTCCTATTCCCTGGCTCTCTACAGGGTTCGCGCTGGGCTTTCTCCTTCCCCGTTCTAACCCCGTCAGCCTCATTCGCAGCGGTCAGCCTCAAACAGTGGTGAGATGTTTGCTAACCTTCTGTGTCAATTTTCCAGTATCTTTAGACAGAAGTATCTACTGCCTGGCTAAGTAGATTCCCGAGGGGACATACGGGACTGGGGGACACGAGGAAGAGCTCTGGTCCAGGAGCCAGACGCTAGAACCAGACTCCAGACCGCGCTGCCCAGCGGCAATGCAGTGTGAGCCACAGGCGTGATCTTGAACTGCCTAGTGGTCTCATTCTCAAGAGTCAAAAGCAACAGGTGAATACATATTCTAATCATTGTGCTTGACCCGATGTATCCAAGACATTATCAGTTCGACATGAGTGATAGATACTGGAAAATTAGAGATATTTTATGTTCTTTATGTCCTGCTGGTCTTTGAAATCCAGTGTTCATTTTACTCATACAGCTTATCTCAGTGGAACCAGCCACAGCTCAGGAGTTCCATGGCCACCTGTGGCCAGTGGCTGCTGTATCAGAGGCACAGCTCTTGGCCCCTCAGCTGTCGCTGATTCCCGAATCCTCCGACCTCAGTGCAGAGTTGGAAAGCCACGGCAGCCAGGGCAGGCAGGCCGGTTCCCTGCTCAGCTGAATTTCTGCATCTGTGAAACGGGGACGGTCGGACGTGACCTTGGTCAGGTCGCGGCAGAGGAGGATGTGCTTCGGGGAGGAAAAGGAGGGCGGCCTGACTTTGTGGGATTATTGTTAGGATTGGGATTCACCTTGGCCAGGCCTCAGGGTCCACTCCCTTAGCCCCAGGGCTGCCTCCCCGTCACTCCTCTCAGCCTCGAGCACCTTGTCAGCAGCACCCTGCTTGGCACCCAGTAAACTCAGTCACTCGGAACTGTGACTGTCACCATTCCTCCGATCGCAGAAACGCGGCCCAGGGTGGGGAGCGGTTTGCCCAAGGTCACACGGCAGCGAGACGGGGGGTGGCGGCAGACGCTGGCCTATTTTGGCTCCCTGCTCCTCTCTGGCAGGCAGTCATCCCCGAAAGCCAGCCGCCCGTTTCCACGCAGCCAGGTAATGGAGACAAATACACCGAGACCACTGAGCTACTTGAACGAGGCCCTGTCCAAGAATCGTTTCCCTGGCACTTGCTCGGGCGGGCACGCACACAGGGTTTGTGTAAAGTCACGGCTCCAAGGGCAGAGGCCGGTTGTAGTCAGTGCGCCGCACCGTGACTGGCGTGAGAGTCCTCGGTGTGATTTCAAACAAAGGGCCTCCTTGTAGGTGGCACGTGATGCACCGTTGGCAAGACTGCAGTGGAGGAGAAAGTGAGCTCAGCGGTCAGCCAGAGAGCCCGAGGTGTGACACCGTGTAACATGACAGCACGCCGTGTCTTCCTGAGCCTTCGCTCTGTGACCTTGCCAAGCACCCTGCACTCACTGGTCCATTGAATCCTCCCAGTTTCCCAGGGAGGTGGTCATTACATGATGATCCCATTTTACAGATGAGGAAACTGAGGCTCCAAGAAAATAAAGAACTCACCCAGAAACACACAGATAGGGCCGGAAGGGGCCTTTAAAATCTTCCCTGGCCAGCGCTCCAGGTTGGCCCAGGACTGAGGAGCCCGCTGGACACCGGGCATTTGCAAGCTGGGACAAGGGGCTCTCCCTGTAGTTGCTTAATTTATTCATCGGTAAAATGGGCATAGTCAACCCTGACACTGGTCCGGGTGAGAATAAAAAATATGACAGCAGAGGAGGGTGTGCTTTGGGAAGGAAAAGGAGAGACACCTCGTATTGTGGGGGTGTTTTTAGGGTGAGGACTGGCCACAGTGAGGACTCAGAATCCACTCACCTGGTCCCAGGGCTGTGTTCTCTGTCGCTCACTCTCATTCTGTCCCTCGGACTCAGACTTCTTCCTGCCTCTCGAGCCCAGCCCCTTTCCAATTCCTTCCAAATTTCAAGTTGCCTTTCTAGAGCCAAAGTCTGAGAAACAGCACCCCACTTTCCCAAGCACCTGCCAACAGCCCTGTCTGATTTGAAAACAGCTAAGAAAGAGGGATGCGGGGCTGGGGGGGGGCGGGGGGTTGCTTTATTGCTTTTTCTTGAGCCAAGCCCAGCCTATGTGCTTAGGGAAGGCCCGGCCCAGGCCAGCGTGTGGCGGAAGCGAGCATGGGGGCCTTGCCCACCAGGAGCTCCCCTTCAAGTCTCTTCTTTAATTAAAGACCTCAGCCGAGTGCCCACTCAAGAGCGGTCAGGAGGTCCCTGCTGGCTCTGCTTCCAGCTACACAGTGAACATCCTGGATTTGGTACTAAGAAGAAATGGGCTCACAGAGAGCTAAGGAAGCAGGGGGCAGGGCGGACCGATCCTCTCCCCGGTGAGGAGAGCACGGTGGTTCCAGAGCCCCAGCAGCAGGATGCTGGCAGACACTCTGCCCGTCTCCACGGGCCACACATGCACACTCGCACAGCAGAGAAATGACACCGCGCGAGGCGATGCATGAATACACAGAGAGACACACACACAGCAACACCAGATGGAGAACACAGCCTGGGCTGGGCCGGGTAGTCATTATTCCCTCACCCACACAGAGGGACTGGCGGAGTTACGTAAAGCAAGCTGTAAAATCGGGGGGGGGGGGGGTGCCTAACTTGCTAACCAGCCCCATAGGGAACCCAGGAGGGGGTACCTCCTGCTCATGGGGGTGTCTGCATCCATGTCCTGCTCTCAGAGGTAGCAGGAGCCTGTCATCTGCCTCAGCCCAGCCCCGGGGTGACCCCGGGAAGCTGCTAGAAGGGAAAGGAGGGAGGGAGTTGTTAGCAGTGGCAGATGAGAGCTCCCTCCCTGCGCTAAGGCATGGTGAATGCCCGCAGAGGGGTGGATGGATCTGGGGGTAAGGAAAGGGCTGTACGGGTTCTCCACTGCCCCCCACCTGTCCCCAGTCCACCTGCCCCAGCCCAGACACATAAGACACACCTGCATCCCTGCCCGCTGTGTACATGCCACAGGCGCACACTCCTCACCTGAGCCACGGCGGCCTATTGGCCTTTGGTTCTCCAAGTTCACCACTCGGGTTCCCTGAGCCTGGAGGAGCTGGTGGGAGTTGTAAAAATACAGTGGGGCCTTGACTTACGAGTTTAATTCGTTCCGTGACGGAGCTCGTAACTCAAATTACTCGTATGTCAAATCAAAAAGTGAACGAGTGAGACACGTGATGCTGGGCTGATGTTGTGTTCACTGTGACGTTCGCTGCGCCAACTAGCGGTGGGGTATCTGAAGCTGGCTCGTAACCCGAATTTTAGCTCGCAACTCAAAGCAAAAAATCGGCCGAGAGACGGCTCGTATCTCGAAAAACTTGTTAGTCGGGACACTCGTAAGTCAAGGACCCACTGTAACTAGAATATAAATGTTTTAAACCTAGACTATAAGTTTAAAAGGTTAGGCTCAAGAGTGGACCAATCTGAGTTCAAATCTTCCCTCCGCCATCATTCTCTCTTGACCTTGGACAGGTCACTGACCCTTCCCAAGCTTTGGTCTTCTTGTCTATTGAAGGGTTACCGTGCGAATCAGAGAAGAAACTTCCTGTTAAGAGTGTCTGTGCTCAGTAACTGTCCGCTCTGTTTAGTCTTTGGGGATTTTTCTCCTTCGTTCAACAAGCACTCGCTGAGCACCTGCTCGTTGCTTATGTTCACCTGGGAACGCACAGTCCACTCTCCTGGTGTTTCTCCGTTGGGGTTTAAGGTGGTCTGTGAAATACCATGTCCCCCAACGCGTTATAGGGACCTGTGTCTGGTACTTATACCCAATTGGGTTTGTGATGGTGGCCAAGTCTGCCCTTTTGAATGTGGAACGAGTCAATAATTATAAAAACGGTCATAAAAGCCAATTGACATCTTTAACCGGTGGCTCCGCGGAAGGCAGTGTCCCCTTCCAGGGGCTGTGGCGGGGGCTTTGGGAGCAGCTGGGTCAGAGAGCCCACAGCTCCGTGCTGGCTGAGCTCCTGACCCGTGGATGGAAAATGTGAAGCAGAGAGACACAGGCCACGGGTGTGACAAGTTGGAGGGGTGGCTTCTGGCGGTGGGAAAAAAATAAGAGAGGTCTTCTGAGTCTTGCCTTCTGCTTCCTGGGGCTGAGAGGACTGTGAGTGGTTACCCAGGGCTTTGGTCATAGAGATGAACCCAGGCAGTTTGCAGCCAACTGGGAAAGTACCCTCCTCGAAGAAAAGGGATTTTGTTTCTGGGTTGGTCCCTCCGGAGCTTCTGATGGCTGGACGTCTCCGTGTGCCGGCTTCGTGTTAAAGGTAGTGGAACAAGGGGGAATGAGGTGTCTGGGATGGGCTCTTGGGCCCACCTCGACCTCTTCTTAAACTCTCTCCATTCTGTCCCTTGTTCCTTCTCTTCAGCTCAGGAAGCTCCGAATCTCATCTGCGTCTCACGGGCTGGCGGTGCCCAAGGAATAGCCCCCAAGAGCATGCGTGGCCTCTAGACACATCCACCAGATCCTCCCCCTCACAGTCCGCCTGACCTGTTGCTTAGGGACACGTCCCACCGCTTCTCCTGACGTCTGCCCGATCAGCCATCACTTCCTCAGAGAACGAGGAGGGAGGCAGGCGCACGAAATCATGCCACCGACCGCCGAACAGCAATGAGTGGGTGATACCGAGTTGACGTCAAAGTCAGACAAGCCCAAGAGACTCGCCGCAGCCCCGGCTGCTTCCTCCTCCGCACAGCCTGAGCGGGGCTCCTCCTGGCGAAGCCACCTCGGCCCGACCCAGTCTGAGGTCTGCGGACCCTCGGACCCTGGACACCATGGAGAATCACATGTTCAGTGTCCAGCAAATCCAACCCAACGTGATTTCTGTCCGCCTCTTCAAGCGCAGAGTGGGGGGCTTGGGGTTCCTGGTGAAGGAGCGGGTGAGCAAGCCCCCCGTGATCGTCTCCGACCTGATTCGAGGGGGTGCCGCCGAGCAGAGCGGCCTCATCCAGGCCGGAGACATCATCCTCGCGGTCAACGGCCAGCCGTTGGTGGACATGAGCTACGCCAGCGCCCTGGAGGTGCTCAGGGGCATCGCCTCCGAGACCCACGTGGTCCTCATTCTGAGGGGCCCGGAGGGCTTCACCACGCACCTGGAGACCACCTTTACTGGGGACGGGACCCCTAAGACCATCCGGGTGACACGGCCCCTGGGCCCCCCCACCACGGCTGTCGATCTGTCACACCAGTCGTCAACCTGCAAAGAGCAGCCGCTGGCGGTGGACGGGGCCACAGGCCCCAGCAACGGGCCCCAGCACGCCCAGGACAACGGGCCAGAAGCCGGCTCGCTGTCCCACACCAACGGCCTGGACCCTGCCAAGAAAAATGCCGGGGCCGCCCGTCAGTGCAGTGAGGAGCACAATGAGTTGCTCAAGGAGATCAAGCCTGTGCTGAACCTTCTCACCTCGGCCGACAGAGGGATCAACGGAGGGGGACCTGCCAAGGCGGAGACAAAAGATGCAGAAGTTCAGGTGGACAGGTAAGCCCCGCAGGTGTGCATGCGCGCACGTGCTGCAGCTCAGCCTCGCAGCCCGGGAGCCAGCCTGAGCTGCCCCCGACATCTGCTGGGCACAGCCACTCTCTCACCCTTGCCTCTTCCCTTTAAAATTGCAAGAGCAGAATGGGCGTAGCAGCTAGGGTGTATCCCTCGCCAGGAATCCCAGAGCTGTCAGTCATGGTAGCTGGTGTCATGTTTTCCGATCTTGATCCCATGTAACCCTCCAGCCACCCCCGAGGATGGGTATGTTTGTAGTCCACATGTCCCGGGTGAGAAGATTGAGGCTCAGAGAGGAGGGGCTTTCCCGAGGCCACCCAGGAGGTGAGGTGGGTGTCAAGGCCTTGGAAAGAGAGGAGAGAGCTGAGCACTGGGAAACCTCAGGCTCAACCGGTTCTCTCCTTGGGCAGCCTGTCGAGGACAACAAAGGCTCTAACAGAGGGGGAGGAATCAAGGTAGAGAATTGGCCCCAACTCCCCCAAACAGGGCTCCTGCTCGGATTAGGTGGGAGCCGAGGCTAGAACTTGAGAAGTGGGTGCCAGCCCCTCTGTGTTGCCCAGGCCGGCATGTTCTGATTCTGTGGGGAGGAAAGCTGGTGACCCAGTGGGTTATTCCAGATCCTTCTCTGGGGAGGAAGCAGCAGCTGGGCCAACCTTGCACGTCGTGCAATTGTTTGACTGAAAGCAGCAGAAAAAACTGTTTTGCAGGAGGTAAGATTTGGGAGACAGCAATGCAGGGCAAGCCCAGGGCTCCATGAAACCACTCACATAAATGGTCAGGATGAGGGATATTTAATAATAGCACGTGTGCCCCAAGCTCCATGGTTTAGACCCATGCTGGACTCAAAGCAACTCCCCCCCCTTTAACAAATCTTTTATTTAAATATTTTTGTATTGATTTCATAGAGGAAAAGGGAGGGAGAGAGAGATCAAAACATCAATGATGAGAGAGAAACATTGATCGGCTGCCTCCCACACGCCCCCTACCTGAGGATTGAGCCTGCAACCCAGTACGTGCCCTGACCAGGAATCGAACCATGATCGCCTGGTTCATGGGTTGACACTCAACCACTGACCCACACTGGCTGGGCTTAACAGATCTTTTTAAATGCCCCTTTACTAACCAGCAGCTAATTCATGGATCATATAACCTACCCACACTTGACATTTTTAAAATCAATTTAATGCCCTAACTACAAAATAGAGGAGACAGAGCAAAAAGTAATTGATGATAAAAGAACCTACAATTTCACATTAGGGCTCAGGCCCGACTCCACTGGAATGGTCAGCTGTTTGCACCTAAACATAGAATTGCCGCCAACACAGTGGAGTCAGATGCAGATCGACACACGTGTGTTGTTTTGGTGCCTCGCATGCCACCAACGGCATCGTCGCCTTGGTGATGTGATTTCCCGAAATGGTGAAAGGCTCCCAATAAAACGATGCCATTCCTCTGATTTAGTTGCAACAGTGGCATGCCTGGGAAATTCAGTCTATTTTAAAGCCTATATATACATAATAACAAATTGGGATCATGGCTCAGCAATTTAGGCATTTTTTAAAAATCTGTGTGAATGTCCCGAGGTGGTGTGGCAGTCAGGACCCTTAGTGCTCGTGTGGGGAGTGTTCCTGGTGTTGCAGGATGTCCGTCACCCCAGAAGCCACCTCCCTCCCACTGTGACAACCACAGGTGCCCCCACAAATTGCCAGACGGCCTCCTAGCGGCTGAAATAAGTGCTTCACTAAGAATCCGTGTTCCCGGTCAGGAAAGGGAAATGCAGGGACAGTGTCTTTGGGGTCACTCTCGGGGCTGGCAGGCCGGGCACAGTCCAGGCCCCTGGAGCATGTGGCTGCCTGGAATGATGCACCCTCCCAGGGGCCTCTCCACCCAAGCTGCATGTGGGGGTGGGATGGGAACTGGCACCCCAGATGCTGCATGAACAGGTGACCATGAGGCCGGCAGCCCGCCAGGCCCTGAGCCCACACCCAGGTTCGTTTACTGGTCTGTGACTTCTGGGTCTGAGCAGAGGCTGGTTCTCAGCGGTGCCCCTGACCTCCTGCTCTCTCGGCCTCATTCCCTTCCTTCCGTCCCTCTTTCCTTTGGACAGACTTACTCTGCTCCATCTAGTCCCTCTCCCTCACGGGGCATCCCTGGTCCTGTTGTTTGGGGGTGCTGGCTCTTACCTGGGGGTAGAAGTGATGCTTAGTCTAGACACAGCCTCATCCCTTCATCCCAGGTTGGCAGGGTGGCCCTGGCAAGTGGTGGCAGTGTGTGAGGGATTGCAAGGAAGAGAAACTCAGGGCTTCCAAGTCCTCCTGCACTTGGGAGCGATCACTTTAAAATGCTGCCTAGCAGAGGAAATCCAGGTTGTCAGCTTGCTGCCCTGAAGGAGGGTTCTAAAGAGGCCAAGGTCCCCAGTCCAGCCTCCATCTGGACCAGGTGGTCAGCCTCGCCCTGGGCTCTGATAACTTCTTTGCCTCTTGGGGTTACTTACAGATTACCTCCTTGCAGGAGTTAGGCTCCCTAAGTAGGACATGTGGTTTTAGCCCCCTTTTATAGAACTGAAGCTCAGAGAGGTTAAGCAACTTGCCCGGGGACACACAGCACTGTCCTGGTTCTACCTAGAAATCTCACAATGAGTGCCCAGAGTTAAAGAGAAACCAGGCAATAGAATGAGGCTGGAGGAACGGAAGTCAATTTTGACCCTAGAGTATTAGCTTAACTCAGGGGCAGGGAAGCCTTCTGTGACAAGCATGAGTTTCGGTTTTGTTTTTTTGGCAGGTTTTTTTATTGTGGTAAAATTGGTATACAAGATGATATATATTTGAGGCGTATAACATTATAATATCTGTATACACTACATAGTGTTCACTATCGTAAATCTAGTTACCATCCTTCACCATAGAATTGATCTCCTTCACCCATTTTGCCCTTCCTCCAAACCCCTTTACCTCTGGTAACCACCAACCTGTTCTCTGGACCTATGAGTTTGCTTTTGTTTGGTTTTTATATTTCACGTATACATGAAATCATACAGTAGTTGTCTTTCTTCCTCTGACTTACTTCACTTTGCAGAATGCCCTCAAGGTCCATCTACATTGTCACAAATGGCCTGGGTTTTATTATCGTTATGTTCGGCCGCTACAGAGCACTGCAGGTGGGCCTGGCCCCATGCTGAAGTCTTTACATCGAGGACTTCGTTTGCTCCTCATAGCACCCTGTTTTCCTGTTACTTGTCCCGTCACACAGCTGACTTTGTAGATTGCAGTGTTGGCCACAGATCACTTGACCACTAGTCATCAAGTTTCAGAGGTCGTCAGAGTATTTTCTCAGAGTCTAAAAGGGAAACTGAGGCCCTGAGGTGCCTCGGGGGCGGGGGTGGCTGTTGCGGGCTCCCCAGTTTCCCCGGATCCAAACTCAGCCCAATCCGCCCAGCCTGGGCCCGGGAGACACTGGAGAATCCTGCCCAGCGTTTGGGATACGAGGTGTTACAGTCATGACTAGTACCCAACCCAGAGGCCCTCACCCCATCCTCAGCTACAGCATTTGCCGTAGAATTCTGACTCTCAAAGGCATACCTTTCTCTTTATGGAGACCGTTTTCCTTTCTAGCATGCTGAAATCTTGGAGAAAAGCTTTGCCCATACCACAGGCCTGGTTTCCACAGTCCCCACATCTTCCTGCTCGAACTCAGCTCCCAGAATCCACAACCAGGTGGAGTCAGAAACCCAAGGCTATTGGCGTGGGGTGGGCGAGAAGGGGGGTCAGAGAGAGGGTGGTGTCTGCTGAGAGATGCAGGCAGGGCTTCCTGCCAGGACCGGCTGCTCCTCAGCAGCCCCTAGCCTGGCTGGGCCAGAGCTGGCAGCCCCCACCTGCAGGCTGTGCCCTGCACACAGGCCTGGCCCACCTGTTCCCCCTCCTGGGTCCTCGGGGTTGGTTAGCGGTCAGCACTGGGCTGATCAACTCTTGCAAGAACTCTCTGTGGAGTCAGACCCAGACCCCCACACATCCCCATCCCCACTGTGTGCGCGGTAAGAGCGTCCTGGCTCGCAGGGAGCCTCGGTTGGAAGGATCTGGCAAAGGTTCCCAGAAGGTGTAGAGATGCTAGACCGGCTCTTGGCTCTGGTCTGATCACCCAGCTAGCAAAGTGGAAGAAAAATGGCTTTGGTTTAGACATTGCCAGAAAGCACAGAAAATGCTCCAGGTGGGAGGCAGAGTGAATGTGAGGGCTGAGCATGGTGGGAGGGGGGAGTCTGGAAGGGAAGTAGAGAATCCCCAAATTCCTGGGCTCCGGGAACAAGATGTGATGGTTCAAAAAGGGTCTGAGTGCGACATCCCTGCCTCTGTCCCCCGGCCCCCAGGGAAGGCACCCCCATCCCAGGTAGGACCCATGGATGCCTTCATTTCCCAGTCTTCAGAGACGTTAAGATTTCCAGCACCACTGTCCAATGCTAGAGCTACTAGCCACATATACTAGTAGCTGTCTACACCCAGTTACAGTTAGAATTACACATTCAGGCCCTGGCTGGTTTGGCTCAGTAGATAGAGTGTAGGCCCACGGGTGGACCGAAGGGTCCTGGGATGGATTCCTGTCAAGGGCTCATACCTTGGTTGCAGGTTCAATCCCCAGTCCTGGTCAACGCGTGCGGGAGGCAACCAATCCTTGTGTCTCTCTCACATCTATGTTTCTCTCTCTGTCTCTCCTTCTCCCTTCCGCTTCTCTAAAAAATCAATGAAAAAATATTGTCAGGGGAGGATTAACCACAAAGAAACATGAAACATTCAGTTCCTCACTGACAGTAGCCATGTTTCAAGTGCTCGATTGCCTCATGTGCTAGTGGCCTACGCCTGGACAGCACAGATGTGGAATGTGTCCGTCGTGGCAGGTCCCACTAGCCCACGCCGGCTTGGAGGAATCTGGACTGTCTTACACAGAAGTACACTTTCCTTTCTCTGCTTCCGTCTGATCGACCCATAAGCAAATGAGTAGTAAGAGCGGTGATGGTAGGTGTAAGGGCTGTGAGCGTGACCTCATTTAACCATTGCAACAAGGCGTTAGTATGATCAACCCTATTTTAGCGATGAACAAACGGAGAATTAGGAAAGACAAGTATCCTGAATACCCCAAGTTGCACAGCTTAGACCCATCGACGTTAAGCGTTGAACCCAATAGCCCGTGTCCTTACACGGGTGGCACTACCCTTCCACGCCCATCAGGCAGCTAGGCCCAGGGCGAGTGCATTTGCAGCAATGAGCCCGATCATTTCCCGCAGACCCGCTTACCACTGACAGACTGGGGGTTGGGCATCTACCAAAATCTACTTCTAATCTGGCTCCTGCGGGAATGGGAGCCAAATAACTCAACTTGCTTGTTCCCCCTGGTGCCATATTCAAAAGTATTCTTCTACTAATCACACGGGACTCTTAAAGAAGTGCATGTTGACAGAACACTTCAAAAGCATTATTTAAACAAAGTTGTTAAAGGCTTTTTAAAAAGGATGATGGTGAAAGTGCTTGCTCCCTGTCGATTCACACAGACGAGCCCCGGGAGCCATTTCAGAGTTGCCTAGGTAATTGGACCCTGTAATTTTTGTAAACGGGCCTCCTTCTGTGAGCGATGTTGGGTTGCTTGCTCTTTAGCCTCTGGCTTCGCATGAGCATCCTGACTAGTTTTTTTCTGTCTCTGGTTTTTTTTTTTCGTTTGTTTTTTAAAGGAAGGATCTGGGCCGAGCATCTGTCAGACCCAGTTTCAAATCCCAGCCCTGCTGTGTGCTTACCGTGGAACCTTGGGAAACGAGCCTAACCTCTCACGGCTCAGTTTTCACATCTGTAAAACTGGGCTTTTAATATCTGTTGCAATTAAATGAAATCATTTCTGTGCAAGGGCCTGGTACATCACAGATGCTCGAACAGTATTAGCCTCCTCCCTTCTCTGCTGAATCCGGGTTTATGGTCGTGTGATCTCACAGAGTCAGGAGTTTCAGAGCTGAGAGGGAGCCGAGTGACATTTAGAGGAGCCCTCTCAACAGACGCTTCCTCTGTTTTTCACCACGTAGGTAAACTATTGCCTTGGGTTCTGTAATCAAGAACTACTCCCGGTGTGTTTTGGTGACATTTTGCTAGTAAAGAGGGTAAAACAGTATGCTCCCTCTGACACTTGCAGAGCTCTCCAAGCAAAAGAGCAGAAGTGGCTTTGACGAGGGCCACCAGAACTCTGCGAAACACGGCGCAGAGGGGGTCTGGCTGGACCCCAGTGAGCAGCTGGAGCAGCTGGCTGCCCAGGGCCACGCTTCTGATTCATCCCAAACAGCTGTCAGCACCAGATTGGGGATCAGGGGAAATTCTGGAGCCAAGACCAGAGTCCCCAAAGCTGGCAACAGAGAACAGAAGGCTAGACAAGGGCCAGCCTAGACGCCCAAGGTTGGGGAGCAGACATATGCCCTAGTCAGGGTAACCCTGGGGGGAGGGTTGAAAAGAAGCAGGTTGTCAGGAAGCAGAGGGCAGCATTCGGAGGGAGGAAGAGCAGGTCTGGCTTTTAACGCAGTCTCAGTTCCACCCCAGCCATGCTTTCCCTCCATCTCAGAGGGTGGCCAGCTGTGGAACCTGCCGAGAGCCTCCTCCTGAACCTACTCAAGGTCAAAGCCTGGGAGTGAGCTCTGGTTCAGAGGTCAAGCTCTAGAGTCAGGAACAAGCCTGGGTTTGAATCCCAACTCGGAGCCTCCTCCTGAACCTACTCAAGGTCAGAGCCTGGGAGTGAGGAGAGCTCTGGTTCAGAGGTCAAGCCCTAGAGTCAGGAACAAGCCTGGGTTTGAATCCCAACTCCACCATCACTAGCTGTGTTACTGAGGCTAGTGACTTAACCTCTCTGAGCCTGTTTCCTCATCTGATGATGACTGTGAGGCTGATAATAGTGGTGGTGAAGGTCATGATGGAGGAGGATGGGGATGGTGGTGATGACAATGATGAGAGTGATTATGGCAGTGGTGATGGTGATACGGACAGTGCTAACACTGGTGATGATGGTGATGATGATAGTTAGGCTGATGAAGAGAAGTCGATGGTGTTGATTGTGATAGTGATGATGGTGATGATCCTGAGATGGTGGAGGCGATGATGGTGGTAATGGTAGTGTGATGGTGGTGATGATGATGACAAATGATAATGAGAGCCTCCACTTCAGAAGGATGTGAAGAGTAGGCTGGGATCCTGTGACCTTCAGCAATTTAGCTCTTGTCTCACCTCTACCATCTGTAAAATGGTGAATATTCCTATCTAACAGGGTTGTCACAAAGATTAAATTAACCAAAACATATGTAAAGTGCACAACAAACGCCATCATTTTAATAGTATTATTTTCGCCTGCTCTGCTCCCCTGACTTCAGAATCATTCCTGTTTACCCTGGGCTGGTGTCATTAGCCTTGTTGTCAATGCCTAGCGATGGGATGACCTACCACCCTGGCCCACGGGACTGGTTTCCTTCCCTGTCCCTCCTGCCTCCTACTTCCTACATAACTAAGGCTGATGGGCATCACTGTGTCCAGGGATTCTGCCTGGGGTTCTGCTAGGTGGTGGGCTTCCTCTGTTCATAGATCTTTGAAATGAGGGAAGGAATAAGAAGGAGCACAGTCCATGTCATGGCCATCCTGAAATGATGTCCACGAAGACAGGTGGATGCCAGCCACGGGTGCCAACTTGGATGAGCTCACCTTTGCGTTTGACAGTGGGGCGCTGTCAATCCTACGAGGCAGCAGGCTGGGCCCCCAGTGCTCTCTGGCTCCACATAGTCATGTGGGTGGACCATGGAGGCTCTGGACTGACTCGGGAATCCCAGACCAGGGCCACCAGCTCGCTGGCCACCCCTCACGTCCTGCTTTCCTCACGCCACCCCCTTGCCTTCCAGAGACCTGGATGCCAAGTCACACAAACCTCTGCCCCTCGGCGTGGAGAATGACCGTGTCTTCAATGACCTGTGGGGGAAGGGCAACGTGCCTGTGGTCCTCAACAACCCGTATTCAGAGAAGGAGCAGGTAAGGGGCGGTGCCCGCTGGGAGGGTGTTGGGGCTGAAGCCAGGAGCACCTATGCTGGGATATGGATTTTGCTTTGGTGTGTTTCATTTTCTTTGTGAGCTTGCCATTTTTCACATGTTCATTCTGTTTCTACATTAACGGCACTCACATGGTTCAGGATTTAAAAAATAAAATAGAGCCCTGGCCAGTTTTGCACAGTGGTTAGAGCATCAGCCTGCAGACCAAAGGGTAGTGGGTTCGATTCCTAGTCAAGGGCACGTACCTCCGTTGCGTGTTCACACCTTGCACCCAGTTGGGGCACATCTAGGAGGTAGCCAGTCGCTGTGTCTTTCTCACATCGATGTTTCTCTCTCTCCCCCCTGCTCCTCCCTCCTTTTCACTCTAAAAAATCAATGGAACAAAATATCCTTGGATGAGGATTTAAAAATATATATATAAAATATGTCAGGCTGGCATGGCTCAGTGGTTGAGCATTGACCTATGAACCAGGAGGTCATGGTTTGATTCCCAGTCAGGGCACATGCCCAGGTTGCAGGCTTGGTCCCCAGTCTGGGGCGTACAGGAGGCAGCTGATCAATGATTATCTCTCATCATTGATGTTTCTATCTCTCTCTCCCTCTCCCTTCCTCTCTGAAATCAATAAAAATATATTTTTTAAAAAGCTATAAAATATGCATGGTGAAAAGTGTTTCTCTCTCCCCTAGTCCCAGCCACAAAGTTTCCCTCCCTGCCGCAAGGAATAGTTATAATTTTTTGTGGTCCTTTTAGCATAGAGAGACAAGTAGGCACACATTTTTTACACAAACGAGAGTACATTATACATACAGTTTTGCACCCTGCTTTTTCACTTACCAGCATATCTAGAAATTAGTACTACCAGTAACTAGTAGATAAAGAGTCCTCATTCTTTTTAACAGCTGCATAATTTCCCATTGCATGCCTCTGCCATATTCATTGAGCCCATCCTCCAAAATGAGCACTCTTGGGTCATTGCCAATATTTTGCTACGACATTGCTGTAAAGAATGATATTGTATAAACACCTTATTTGGCACATGGGCAGGCTTTTCAATAAAATAAATTCCTAGAAGTGGAATTATTGGGTCAAAGGTCATACTCACTTGTTATTCAGCAGAAATTGAGAAATTGCTCATCAGAAAGATCATGCCAATCCTACGGGCTAAGTAGGAGCGTGGTTGTTTCCCCGCAGCCTCACCAGCTCCATCTTTGCCAATTTGCACAGAGGTAGTTTGGCAGCTGGGCAGATATGGTTCCCGAGAGTCACTCGATTTGGCTAGAGAACAGCAGCCTCTTTTTCTCCCCTGCCCAGGCAGCTAACGGGCCAGGCCCCAGCAGCCCTAGGGAGGCATGTGAATCTGCCACCCCAGCTCTGCATGCAGCGAAGTCTAGGTGGAGATGGTCCAGGTCACTCAGCGGGTCATCTTCTTCCTGCCCAACACCTGCCCTGAGCCCCGGGTGGCACAGGCCAGGTTGCCAAGTTCTTTCTTCTGGTGCAGCATCTATGGCACTTTCTCCACCAGCTCATCTAAGCAAGGACTCAGAGTCTCTCTACATAGCTTCACAGGAGGATGGGATGCTGCAGAGCCTCCGTGGGGATTGCGTCCTTAGCCAGGAAGATAGGAACATGAGGGATTCTGCGGTAGGTCAGACCCAGGGTCCCACTGGCCACTTCCTCTACCTCTTGCAGTGACTTCTGGGAATGTTCGGAGGACAAGCACAATTGTAGCTTCTTATGCTGCCTCAGAAATCAAGGTCATGCCCTGGCCGGGTAGCTCAGTTGGTTGGAGTGTTGTCTGTATATGCCAAGGTTGTGGGTTTGATTTCTAGGCAGGGCACATGCAAGAAGCAACCACTGAACGCATAAATGAGTGAAAAATCAAGGTCACATTGTGAGCATGAGGGGACTATTATCCATGAATGGAGAAATGAACAGATAAAGTTAAAATAGTCTATGTATTTTCTTTCTTTTAAAAAAAAATGCATTTTTTATTTCAGAGATGGAGAGAGAGAGAGAGAGAGAGAGAAACATCAATGAGAGAGGCCCGGCTGGCGTGGCTCAGTGGTTGAGCATTGACCTATGGACCAGGAGGTCACGGTTTGATTCCCAGTCAGGGCACATGCCCGGGTTGTGGGCTCAATCCCCAGTGTGGGACATACAGGAGGCAGCCGATCAATGATTCTCTATCATTGATGTTTCTATCTCTCTCACCCTCTCCCTTCCTCTCTGAAATCAATAAGAGTACATTTTTAAAATAAATCCTATATAATGAAAGGGTAATAGGCAAATAGACCGAATGGCAGAACGACTAGAACGTCTGTGGCCCCTCGCCCCAGCCTGCCCCTGATGTTCTCCATCAGGGGCAGGCCAGCTGGACCCCACCAGTGCACGAATTTGTGCACCGGGCCTCTAGTAAATAAATAATGAAAGAGAATCATTGATTGGCTGCCTCCTCCATGCCCCCTACTGGGGATCAAGTGTGCAGCTTGGGCATGTGCCCTGACCCGGAATCCAACCATGATCTCCTGGTTCATAGGTCAACATTCAACCACTGAACCATGCTGGCCAAGTTATATTTTCTTTCTTAATTGAAATAAAGAAGTGTTGCCATAATGAAAACCTTCCTAAGTCTAAGGACAGAAAGAGGCAGCCTCGGGCAAGATTTCGACTATAGACATGATCAATGATGAGAGGGAATCATTGATTGGCTGCCTCCTGCATGCCCCCTACTGGGGATCCAGCCCGCAACCTGGGCATGTGCCCTTGACCAGAATCAAACCCAGGACCCTTCAGTCCGCAGGCCGACATGCTATCCAGTGAGCCAAACCAGCTAGGGCTCTATTTGAACTTTGAATTTATTGCCAATATTTCAAAATTTTATATAAATATCATATTAACAACTTCTCTTAAAAATGTGGACAACCTGACCACATTGATCTCTATTCTTATGATGAAACTAGAGGCCCAGTGCACGAAATTCATGCACAGGTAGAGCCCCCAGGCCTGTCCAGTGATCAGGGCCGATCAGGGCCTTCCGGCTGCTGGCCAGGCCTCCCTTCCCTAGCTGCCAGCTGCTGGCTGGGGCCTCCCTTCATTCTACAGAGCCCCCTGGTGGTCAGCGCACATCATAGCAAGTGATAGAACTCCCAGTCGAACTCCCACAGGGACACTTTGTGTATTAGCCTGTTATATATATAGATAATCTCCTGGACTGAGTAGCAGTTGCCCCCTCTAGACAGGGCTCTCTGGTTTGCTGCAATCCCCACCACTCCCTATTGTGTCTCTCTCGGTAAGATTTGGGGTACAAGGAAGAAACAGAGGAGGCCTTGCCCCCACCAGAAGGACCCTTAAGGTCCTGCTGAAATCTGAGCGGCAGGACTCTGCCATTTCCTTTCATGCCGTCCACGTCAGTTAGACAGTGTTAACCCTGAACATAGCCCTGAACTTAAAGCCTGGGGGGTGGGGCTCAATGCTGGGAACAGAGCAGGCATGATGACTAGCACCGCTGGCCGCCTTTGCAGGATATCATGGTGAAATGATCAGTGTTCAGTCCGTCCAGGCTCCCAGAAGAGAATACCATGGCCTGGTGGCTCATAAACAACAGAACTTTCTTTCTCACTGTCCTGGAAGCTGGGAAGTGCAAGATCAGATGACAAGGAGAAACTGCTTGATTGTCCATTCTCCCTGCAAATCCTTAGCATGGAATCAAGCCCTCTTGCTTTCCCTTCTGATTAAGCACCTAGTCCCTTGCCTACCTGATTTGCTCTCCTAAGGGGCCAGGGGTGGCACCGTGCCCTGCTTGAAGGCAGAACGTCTATTTTCACATGCTAATTAAGCATCAGTCCAGTCCTTAGTGGGTGCAAAGGGGGTCTCGGGACTGAGGGAAATGAGATTTCCATTTGGCGCTCTTCCCTCTTATTCAGCCGGCTGCTCCTCTCCCAGCCTCCGGCTGACAGAGGCAGTCAGGTGGTCAGAGAGATGGCTTCTATTGAAACCCCCTCTCCACTTCCTCCACCTCATCAGGAGCCTGGCACTCCCTCACCCCTGGGGACATGGGGTTTCTGGATGTTTTCCAAATGTCAAAATCTGTTGAGAAGCTATTCTCGGCTTCCAAGTTAGTGTCAGCGTCGCCCCACTCTGGAGAGCTCCGAATGATGAGGCAATTGGGGAGTGCTTGTGGGTCCCCAATCTTCAAAAGACCAGGCCTCGTGGAGGTCCTTTTTCGCACCCCAACTGGCTAGCGAGTGCTGGCTTTGCTGAAAACCAAAAAGGGGGCAGCCGGAGCCAGCTCGATTGTGTCCAAATGAAGACAAACCAGCGAACACTCTGCTCTCAGTGACAGCCCTGAAACCTTCTAAGTCAGCTCTGACTCACTGCGCATTAATGATGTTGGGATAAAAATAACAATAACAATAATACTGATAGCAATACCACCTTGTGGGCGTGTGGCCATCCCAACCCTCCTACTCCTTTACCCACAGTCCTGGGCCAAGCACTCAGCACAGGGGTCAGCCCAGGGTCAGCCTCTTCCTGCTGGTGACCTTGGGCAGACAGCTAGCATCTGCACTGAGCCTTCCTTTCTTAGTGGGTCTGATCGGCTCATGGGGTTGTGGGGAGGATGAAATGAGATCCTGTGTGGGATGATAGCATTACCTATAATAACTAGTGACCCAGTGCATGGATTCTTGCACATTAAAAGGAAATTAATTGAAAGTTGGCTGGTGGGGCAGGACTGGGTGAGACGGGCCGGACACGCCCTGGAGCCAACCTCCCTTGGTCCCTCACTAGCTGGCTGCACCTGGGGTGGCGCCGTGGCTCAAAAGGCGTCTGTGGAGTGAGCAGGGTCCCTCTGGTAGGCGGGGTCCCTCGGCCTGGCCTGCATGGATCAGGCCGAAAATGGCTCTCCAACATCCCCCAAAGGGGTCCTGGAGTGCGAGAGGGCACTCTGCAAAGTTGCTGTCATACAGGGTGTGGAACACAA